ATATCTAAAAACATCTAATTTTGCATGGAAAACATCTAGAAAAAACATCCAAATGGAAAGAGTCTCAAATTTCATAGCAATTGATATGAATTACCCTATAGAATCATGTCCTCATCTTTACTGAAGTTTGCCTTACAAGATCCTCATGATAAACTTAGCTTGGATGATGTAGTTAAAGCTTCAGATTCAAAATGACTATGGTATGCTTTAGCTGTTCCAATTTCTTTTAATACCTTATCAGGGAGCTGATAAGTGGAACAGCCTTTTCCTACTCTTATCAGGCAAAATTTTATTGTCAAGATAGCATTTAACAAGTCAGATTTATCCTATTTCTTAGATTAGATTTGATAAAGTCACTGCAAATGAAAAGAATCTAGAAAAACATCTACCATCTAAAAGTCAAAAACGCCATCTAAATGCCAGGGAAAACATCTAAATCTGGATGTAAAACATCCAAAGTGGCAACATTGGTGATAATCCTAGCCAGTGAACACCACTCTCTTTGAACATAAACTGTTTGTTGTTTCTTACCAACTTTTTTTCTTCCCTATAATTTTCAACTCCTTTTAAAAACTCTCTTTGACCAGAACCTCAAAAATAGAAGCAGGTCGGCAAGCGTGTTGTGACAGCAGACGACGTTTGTCAATGATTTGTGGCTAGGCTGACTTTTGGTTGAGGCAATCTTCCTGAGCCTAAAAATGTTTTTTCATCATCTCTCTCCAAATCTCGTCCCGACCTGTCACAGTTTTACGAGTATTTATTGGCGGGACAGCGCCTCCTGGCGGCGTAAATCAACCGGGGATGTTTTCAGTTGCGTGTGCGCGGGACGTTGGTGTGTGCAGCTCAGCCATAACCGGCTTTATGTAGCTCATGTTTTAATTGCGCCCTTTTGTCGGTCATAATTCACCGGTACAGTTATTATTTGTTTCTTTTACTGTATATGCTGGTTCATTCTTCATTCTTATTTTTAAAACTTTCCTGCTTCACAAATTCCGTGGCTTCTCTTAGGTCGAAAAATAAGAAAATTTGCAACTTCAGCAGATCTGCCAAAATGCAATGTTGCTGACTGACCGGATGTTTCTCTAAACGAATCAGTTTTTCTAGTACTGGGTATTTTTTAAGTGAGCATTTTTTATGTTATGTTGCTTTTTTTTACCATCGACATCTCTGCTTATTTCGCGATTTCCCTTCATTACCGGCCCTTCTATGGAACAGTCCCTCCAAGGTGCCTCTATACTTTGTTCCCATGAGGAGCTTTTTATAATGTCTCTTATATTGGCTTCCATGGCAGCAGATTGTGACCGGTACCATCAGTATTGTAATTCTGCGCGGGCTGCTGAAGGTGAGGACGGAGCATGCATGGGAATGCCCCAAATGCTGTGATGTCACTTCATGACTCAACTCAACGTCAAGGCAGCATAAATCTGCTTCACCACGATTTACTCCCAGTTGGTTCTGCAACGTCCTGTAAAGGATACGCAACGTCCTGTAAAGGATACGCAACTTCCTGTAAAGAATACTCAACGTCCTGTAAAGGATACGCAACGTCCTGTAAAGGATACGCAACTTCCTGTAAAGAATACTCAACGTCCTGTAAAGGATACGCAACTTCCTGTAAAGGATACGCAGCTCCTGTAAAGAATACTCAACGTCATGTAAAGGATACGCAACTTCCTGTAAAGAATACTCAACGTCCTGTAAAGGATACGCAGCTCCTGTAAAGAATACTCAAGGTCCTGTAAAGGATACGCAACATCCTGTAAAGGATACGCAACCGACTTTCTGCCCACTCAGAGTGTAAACTACCTGCAACTGTGTTTACGGAGTTTGAATACAGCACCTTTGACTGCTTGTTCTACTGCCCACGCTATTACCGTCGAAGCAGCGGTTATCTCCATGGTCACGCTTGACGTAGTTTCTTAGTGAATGCCACTATCCTCTTTTATAGTCTTCCCCATCCTTCATGCATCAGTTTCTATCCGTGACTGCGAAAGCATAATGGCTAGATCATCGTCTGCTGGTTAAAAGTTCTCAGTTTCGAATCCGCACTTGGCTGATTTGGGGGTGGGGGGGGGGGGTTATTGTTTCCCATATCGACTCAACTTAAAATGGGTACCAGACTGGCGTAAAAAGGGTCCTTTACTTACTTACTGAGAGTCGCCGTGGTGTAGTAGCTAGACGCTCGCCTACGATCGAAAGGTCGTGGGTTCTGGTCCTGGCGGAGCCGGTCATTTTTCTATAATGACCTCGGTTCCCAGGTCGACCTAACCTTGAGTGGGTACCAGGTGCAGTCCTGGTAAGTAAAGGCGGCCGGGGTGATGCTGAGCATATCACCCACCAAGTGCCGATTCGTCTATAAAATATACGTCTAGCCCTATATGCCCAATAGCCTGTAAGAGTGGAAATGTGTTCTTCACTTTTACATGCTTCCTTATTCCAATTCATTTGAGGGAAAAAAATCAAAAACTCAAGCACGTTCAACCTGCTGCTAGCTAGCCGAAGCTGCCAACAGTCTCCGGTTATATTTGTGGTCTTGTTTATTTACGCCACTTTCGTGGCTAAAGTTCTGGTATTTGCGCCGTCTATGGACCTAATGCTTCTTTTTTCCATGTCAGACCGCTCATTCCCTATCCTGTTGTCAACTGCGTTCATCTTGCCCTTTCATTTTTGTTTCCTCCTTGGTTTCAGCTTTTTCTGATTTCGCCAGCCGTATTTCGTCGGAGAGCGAGCTTCACAACATAACGTCTTTTGGACTACCATTTATAGTTTTAAAATTTTGAGTATTTTTCTTTGCCGCAAAGTACTGAAACAGTTTTTGGGTTTGGATACATTCCTTACTTTCTATCCTACTCTTTATATATACACTATAAAGTAACGATCATAAATTCTTACTACTTTATAATAAGATAACACAATACACATATACGGTACAGAGCTAGCTAAATTAACAACTGGAACAGGCTGCTGGTTGTAGGAACAGACTGAACAATTAGGTATTAGAAAATTATGTCATGTATATAGTAATTAATTCATGGCATGCGGCGTCGCCGGTCGACCCAGCCTAAAACGGGTACCGGTATGTATGTTCTGGGAAAGTAAAGACGGCTGGCGTAATGCTGACCACATTACCCAACTAGTGCCGATTGGTCTGTAAAAATTTGGGTGATTTTACCATATGCGCGATGCGCCTAAAGGCGTGAAAAAGGATCTTTACTTTACTACATAGTAATCAATAAACGTATATTCGGAGATACTCAAAGAGTTAAATCGGTTGGATTGTTGCTTCCTTCCAGGATTGATGTCGGTAGGATTAACACCACAAGGATGAGAACCACACCAAAGCAACTCAAAGAAACCCAATTCAGTCTCACAATACATCTATAACAGGGCCCCTTCAGTTTATATATCTTACTGTATTCTCTGTAACGATAATACATCCACTGCCGGCTTTCTGGGCCTGTCGCAACTTCATCAGAGCCCTGTTGGCGAGGACATTTTGGCCTGATCTAGCCATAGAACCAGGTCTACATTTTACACGAAGACAGAAAATCAAATGGTATGCCTACTTAGAGAGAATGCATTTAGTCGCCATACCATACAAGGCATTCGTCAAAAGAGGAGAAGAATGTAGAGCACAAGGAAGGCTTTTTAGAAACATGATCAGCAAAATTGACATCACTCCCATCATTTGGCGCAGTTTCTGCTGCTTTTGTTTCTGCCGTTTTTACAACAAAGGAGTTGTTCCCCCACTGCTGCCATCTTTTACAACAAAGGAGTTGTCCCTACTGCTGCTATCTTTTACAACAAAGGAGTTGTCCCTACTGCTGCTATCTTTTACAGCAAAGGAGTTGTTCCCATTACTGCTATATTTTACAACAAAGGAGTTATCCCCACTACTGCCGTATTTGACAGTAAAGGAGTTGTCCCTATTGTTGTAGCCTGAAACAACAAAGAGACTGCCATTGCTGTTGTCTCTGACGCTGCTCCAAATGCAGCAATCAAGACATATAATAAAAAGAAAAAAAGAAGAATCTGAAATTCTAGCAACGACATGGGCTTTGAAATATTTTAGTAGATCAAGAATTCACAATACGGTTTTTGTTCACTGTAGTATATGATTCTTTACAAATAAAATAAAACGAAACGTTATAATCGTCATCCATCAGGTGCCGTCTCCACAGTGAAGGTTGGTTGCAATGGATCTCCAACAAGCTCTGCCTATAATCCTCGTTGTACACTCTCTGCTGCCCGTCCATCTCTAAATGTTGACCTTCCACTTGTTTCATTGCCTACCTCTTGCTCTCTTCGACCTTTCCCTTTTTTAGTATGGTTTTTACAAGTGTGTTATGTATTTAAATGTGGCCAAAGTATTTAAATTCTCTCTCTCTCTCTCTCTCTCTCTCTCTCTCTCTCTCTCTCTCTCTCTCTCTCTCTCTCTCTCTCTCTCTCTCTCTCTCTCTCTCTCTCTGTGTGTGTTTTTGAAAATTCTTTCAATAATTCTCTTTTAATTTATAGCCTTTCCAAAACCCATGTATTGCACTTTTTTTTTTTAAATCTATGAAATACGACCTATTCTTCTGTTGTTCATCTCTCTAGTTGTCAGTAACTGAAGACAGCTTTAGCAATTCCTATTCTCTTTTTGATTTCTGTTTCGCTTCTTCCATTATCTGTAACTACGTGTCCTTGATTGGAAAAACTTGTTACTCGTAATAGATCTCCGTTTACTCTGATGTTCACAGAGGTATCAGATGATATCAGAGATATCAAACCAAACCAAAAGTCAACTCACATTGTCACAAAGACAAGCGACAAGTTAACGTTGCGGCTAGAGAGCCTTCATCAGCAATACCACAAAAACGAACAGACATGCTCACAAATTACTTTAACTGAAGTATCTCCGAGAGTCATCAGATATCTGTCTCGCTAGTTGAATCTCTGATACGTGTGTGACTAAAAAAAAAAACACTCAAATGATTCCTTTTTAAAAATTCTATTTTCAGGCGACCTGCGCTGTTACTGCAATGAATCTGGTTGTGTTTCCACCGGTTACATGTGCAAGTCTAGTGCTGGACAGTGCTTCACGTCTGTAGAAATTCGCGAGGAGGCCGCCCACCAGATACACGGCTGTCTGGACAGCCTGCCCGTGGAGCTCCAAACCACCTGTAAGGTGGGAGTGGACGTAATCAGCGCCAGTAAAGCCAGTTTAGCATCTGGAAACATGCCTTTTCTCTTGTGTTGCACCGAGCATATGTGCAACTATAGAGAGGATATCGATATCAGCATTATTCTCACCCCAAAATACAATGGAACATTCCAGAGAGGTAAAGGCTTTTGTCTAGCGTTTTACACTGGTGTTTATATTTTTTTTTTTAATCACATGTCTCTTTAACACATCAGGCGCCATATCACCAATGAAGCCTGGCTACAACAACTCTCCAACACATCATTGTCTCTCACTCGTGCTTTTCTTCTTCTTCTTTTCTTCTTCTTCTTCTTCTTCTTCTTCTTCTTCTTCTTCTTCTTCTTCTTCTTCTTCTTCTTCTTCTTCTTCTTCTTCTTCTTCTTCTTCTTCTTCTTCTTCTTCTTCTTCTTCTTCTTCTTCGTCTTACTCTTCTTTTTATTCATCATCATCACCATCTTCTTCTTCTTCTTCTTCTTCTTCTTCTTCTTCTTCTTCTTTTTCTTCTTCTTCTTCTTCTTCTTCTTCTTCTTCTTCTTCTTCTTCATTTTCTCCTTCTTCCTGGTTAACTCTAGTTAACACATCCCAACTCCGATGAAACACCTGTACATTTCTAGTTGCTCGTCTACTTCTAGACTTTGGACTTGTTCCAGAACCTGAGTTTTGCTTGTACGCTTGTTTTACAGATTTGTTTTATTTATTCGCGGACTGTTGGTTGATCGCCTTTCAAGCAGATGCACGTTTACTTCAAGGCAGGCTTCCCTAATGAGCCGCCGTGTACGACATGGTTGTAAGGGAAACAGTGGGTCTGTTCCCCCTCCCCCTAAATGGGGTCCTGGAGCCCATATATAAGTTTTGTTTTACATCTCCGGGCAACATGTGTTGGCTGTGCGAACTCGGACAGTACACATAACCATATCAGTGTGGCTAAGTTTACCGAGCTTCATAAAATGGATAGCATGAAATGTAGAGTACTTTCTCATAATTGTCCACACACACACAAAATGCTACGCGATAAGGAACTGAGCATCTCATCTCAAAATTTCATGGCATAGAATATGTTAAGGCCTTACAATTATGCTTTTAACTCTGGACCCTCGAGCGACAAAAAGCATACATATGATGACGTACGTCTTTTGGCAATGCATAACCCAGTAGAAAATCCTGCCAATATACACAGCTTAAGTCCCTTGGTTTCCTTCTACAGTAGAGAGATAACGCTCCAGAAAGTATTCACGTAATTCACTCATTTCCATTTTTATTCAAGACAGTCTCTGAATTTATGACTCGTAAAATACTTCACATTACCTAGCATCATAGCTTCTGCTACTTTTAATGTCTTTATTATGCTAATTTTTAAGCTTTTCATGCGGAGAAGTTGCATATTTTAGTGTCTTCTTTAGTGCTGCCCCTTCTTTGTATTCTTCTCAAACGCTACTATCAAACCAACTTCTCTGTTGTATCTTATTGATTTCACCAGTTGCAAGAATAGCCCAAAGCTCATGTTGTATACCATATTAATACCAAATGGTTCCCAGGGCCAGGGATACATTCAGATTGCAGATTTGATTCCTCTCAAGGCAGAATTTACTAGTATTTATTGGCCTCAAAAGTTCGTCATGCATTCAAATAAGTGTGCCATCTTGTGATTGCATTTATTTTCCACATTCTCTTTTGCGGTACACATCTGGGAATATACTCCTTTCTGATATCGTTCCACTGCTTATTATCTCAGAATGTTATTTCTCCCTCCCTACCGCCCCCCTCTCTCTCTATCTCTCTCTCTCTCTCTCTCTCTCTCTCTCTCTCTCTCTCTCTCTCTCTCTCTCTCTCTCGCTCGCTGTCTGTGAGAACTGTGAAACACGGCGTATCCACTTTTAAGTCAACGTTTGAAAAGAACTGTATAGATCTGTGTGTGTGAAAGAGAGAGAGAGAGAGAGAGAGAGAGAGAGAGAGAGAGAGAAAGAAAGAGAGAGAGAGAGAGAGAGAGAGAGATCCTAGATTATACCTTAAGTTTCTGTAATTCTATAATCTATATAATTTTTTTAGGCGTGTAGGGCAAGCTACTAGACTCTGATCTGCTGCTCAGGCTTACCACAGTCTGTATAACCAGAGACCTTATATCCTTAGTTTTCTAGCATGCGCCGCTTGGAGAAATAGTTGACTTGGATGCCCTAATTATCACAGGCTGGCTACTGTAGTCCGTTCAGAAGTTCATGAACATAAATAGATTTTCATTTTTTCCAGACATCCATGACGTTAAATTTTTTTTTTTAAACTAATGAAGAATGTCAACTGTAGTTTGAATTTTTCTTTGCGATATATATATATATATATCATGAAACTGTGTTGGCAGAGTATTGGAAGGTTTACTTTCGTCGGGAAGTAATGTTAATAAGCACAGGGGGTCAAAGAGATGTTATTTCACGATTTTATTGGGCAAAGTCATACTGTTACTGAAGAAGAAGAAGAAGAAGAAGAAGAAGAAGAAGAAGAAGAAGAAGAAGAAGAAGAAGAAGAAAAAGAAGAAGAAGAAGAAGAAGAAGAAGAAGAAGAAGAAGAAGAAGAAGAAGAAGAAGAAGAAGAAGAAGAAGAAGAAGAAGAAGAAGAAGAAAAAGAAAAAAGAAGAAGAAGAAGAAGAAGAAGAAGAAGAAGAAGAAGAAGAAGAAGAAGAAGAAGAAGAAGAAGAAGAAGAAGAAGGAGGAGGAGGAGGAGGAGGAGGAGAAGAAGATGATGAAATGCGTACCCAGAGAAACCTCTAAATAAGAAAAACAGCCAGACAAAACAAAACAGCAGGTCACAGCTGTGGAGATCATTGTGACCTGGTGAATGTGCAGTCCTGTTGTTATAAATCATCTAGAAACTACAGCCGTGTACAGCAGGACTGGTGGTGCCAACTATACAAACATAACTGACTGACACTGCACACCGACATCAAATAATGGGAATCCCATCCTGATGGAGCAACAACTGTTTGTTTAGGATGACTTTGCCATCGTCTGAGCGACTGGGCAGTCTTTAACTCTTTGAGTTCCAAGGGGTTGTTTCATAAATCTTGTCTGTACCAATGAATTTATTTTAAATACTTCTTACTGTATGAAAGAGATCAACAGTGGGACTGCGGGAGAGAACAGGTTAAAACTAATATTCATAATCAGTCAAACTTCGATTAAACGTCACCGACTGAATCAGGACTGTGACAGATATCCGAATAGACGGTAACAGAAATCTCTCAAAACGTAACGGGATTTCAGTGCGGATTTGGGACGAAAACAACAATCCTTTAGCAGTGGATAATGCATACATATTGTATTTCATTTTATAAAACGATCAAAATAAACGTCAATATACAAATATTAATGTAACACGTGGGTGCTTTAATAATATCTTACCCCAAACAGGGGAAATCCACAGGTCACGGGACAATCTAATATTTCAGGGGGTGGTAGATATTCTGCATGCGGTCGTGGGACCTAGACTGCATGCAGTCGTGGGACCTAGACTGCATGCAGTCGTGAGACCTAGGCTGCACTCTCTTGTGGGACGTAGGTGGGTTGGGGGTTAGGTCCAGTTTTAGATGTTTTGGGGTCGTTAAAAGCATCAGAGAGCCGGGAAACGCTTACCACCCTCTAAAATGTTGGACTGTCCTGTGCTGTCATCTGGAGGTAGGATATTAATGAAGCACCCAGAAATCGTATTCTAAAACTATAGACCTGCGTTGCTTTAAAATAATGTATAATCTCCTTCTGTGTCTTTGAGTCTCGAGCTTTCTGCGCAGCGATGTTCCGTTTCTTACCCAGAAGCTGAATCTGTGTTGCGTTTTCTTTCTATTGCATTTCAAACCAGTCGATGCATTCTACTAACATTGTTCCTCTTTCTGAGTGGCTAGTTTTAGGTTTTTGATTAAGAACTGATCCTTCATCGTCGTAAACAATTTTTAAAATGTCTGTTTGTTGACACTCGTGCAATTTCTTTTTAAGACGATGACGTATAACAGAAACTGCCGGATTAAAGAATGACGGTTAATAGACTGTACGTGTTTTTTTTTTTTTTTTGGGTATAGGTTACGTTTATAGCAGAAGACATCAAAGATATCATATGACCCTCGGTACAACTAAGAAACTTGTAATCAGTTCTTTAGTAGCGAAGAGTTAGGACCGTGAGCTTATCTAAGGGTATTCATCACAAATCAACAGTGGGTAATTTTTGCTAAAATTAGGGAAGCAATTAGGAAATTTTAAATTTCGTTATTTTCCCCGCACATTCTGTAAGATCTTAAGCTTATCCAAATGCTTTCTCTCCGTGAATCGAGTCGGCAAGTGAATCTTCTTCTTCTTCTTCTTCTTCTTCTTCTTCTTCTTCTTCTTCTTCTTCTTCTTCTTCTTCTTCTTCTTCTTCTTCTTCTTCTTCTTCTTCTTCTTCTTCTTCTTCTTCTTCTTCTTCTTCTTCTTCTTATTATTATTATTATTATTATTATTATTATTATTATTAATTATTATTATTATTGTTTTTCTTCTTCTTCCTCATTGTCTTCTTCTTCTTCTTCTTCTTCTTCTTCTTCTTCTTCTTCTTCTTCTTCTTCTTCTTCTTCTTCTTCTTCTTCTTCTTCTTCTTCTTCTTCTTCTTCTTCTTCTTTTTCTTCTTCTTCTTTGTTCATCCGATGGAAAGCTGAAATTGTGTGTCTTTTGGTCGATTCAATTAGTTTTTTCGGGAATTTGTTGATCAGATTAGCTACCCGACCTTGTTTTGCTTTAATTTCTACACACACACACATACCGATATATATACATGTGTGTGTGTGTATTTCTTTGCTCGTAACGATTGATTTCCTCCAACAGCAAATAAAACTTCACTGGTTGTTTATATTTTACTATGCCCGTCAACATCTATTCTCCCCAGACGTGTATATGTTTATTCTGTAAAAAAAATCGGTTGTGGAAACCCTGAATGCCCCCTCTCATGCGTCTCTTGAGAGCGTCTGGCTGATGATGGCGCCGGCTCTCTACTGGTCGCTCCCAGTTTACGATCTGCTGCAGCCAGGGTAACATCACTGCGAATTTATGTTGAAAGTGTCAGTTTCTTTAATGCCAGCCTTTCCCCACTGTGTCTCTCCTTTCTTTAAAATTATTCAATTCGTTGGCT